GGTGTGGTGTGTGTGTGTGTGTGTCTGTTCTATACACACACACACACACACACACACACACACACACACACACACATTATCAAACTTCTGGAAACAAACAAATTTTTTTTTGTCAACAAAGACTTTATTTATTACCTGCATGAACTCACAGCTTTTATCACATGAATAGTGTTGGCTGTCCTGATGGGCCGGAGATCTGATAGGCCCCTGTTCTGATGGGTCCCCTATTCTGATGAGCCCCTGTTCTGATGGGCCCCAGATATGATGGGCCCTTGTTCTGATCGACCCCTATTCTGATGGACTCCAGATCTGATGGGCTCATGTTCTGATGGGTCCCTGTTCTGATGGGCCCGTGTATGTTATTCTTTAGTGTTGTGTGTGGACCTTGAAGAGATGTGTTTATGGGTTGTTTATTTTTTTATTTAGTGGTGCAGAGTGAATTGCTTGTTTGCTTGCTTAAAGGTACACGGTGAAGAGGATGTGAGTTGCTCGCTTGCTTGCTTGATTGCTTGATTGATTGCTTGTAATTAGAGAGAGGATGTGAGTTGCTTGCTCGCTTGATTGATTGCTTGATTGATTGATTGATTGTAATTAGAGAGAGGATGTGAGTTGCTTGCTTGTTTGCCTGTAATTAACGAATAGGGTGTTGAATGTTTATTTTTAATTGGATAAAGAATGTGAGTTAGTGTCTGTTTATCCCCACAAGTGATTTTACTTCTTTTGGTCTGTCTTCTTTTACTCTTGGTCTCTCTCTCTCTCTCTCTATCTCTGTCTCTCTTTGGTCTGTCTCTCTCTCTCTCTCTCTAAACAATTTTATTCAACCCCCAAAAGAAAGAGAGATATAAAAACAAACCCAAATTAACTTAACTACATCACTATTTATAACCAAGGAATCACTCGCAAAAAATTTAGGTCAGAAAAATTGGGTGAATGAAAATCGTGAAATATTTGCCCCGCGGGATGAGAATTATTCCCTCGCCTTTATTTAAAATCATTTGGGGGCGAATTTTATCCACCTTGTAAATTTTAGTAATGGTTGCAAATCAACATCGAGGCAATTGCAGAGAGTGGAAATACACCATACATACATACATACATACATACATACATACATACATACATACAGTACATACATACATACATACATACATACATACATACATACATACATAGATACATACATACATACATACATACATACAGTGTGGAACATTTTTGTCTCTGTCCTTATGTGTATAAAATGTTTAATGGTACTGTTTATATATCTTTTTTTCCTTTCATTTACATATACAGTTATTTATGCCATCAATTTTAGAGAGAGAGAGAGAGAGAGAGAGAGAGAGAGAGAGAGAGAGAGAGAGAGAGAGAGAGAGAGAGAGAGAGTTGTCAATACACTTAAAGAAACTGTAAATAGAGTGTAATTTTCATACCGATATGCAAATTAGATTCCACAACATAATGCAGTTTGGTGGTGATAGTTGCCTGTGTGTGTGTGTGTGTGTGTGTGTGTGTGTGTGTGTACTTCCATGTTTATGTGTGTATTAATATCTATACTTTCACTTGTATATCATAGAATTAACGAATAAACAAACTTTCACTCATACACGGTTAGGTTAGGTTAGGTTAGGTAATGAGTCAGTGGGAGGCTGGCCAGGTGAGGGTTAGGACAGGTAAGTTGGGTTCACCTGGGTGTTGGCAGTCAGGTGTATGGTGCAGCCTGTCTTGAAACTCTTGTGATGTTAAGGGTGTGTGTGTGTGTGTGTGTGTGTGTGTGTGTGTGTGTGTGTATCTTACGTGTTTTCTTCATCCTTTGGGGTCATCGAGTTCACGTAGAGTGATTTACACACACACACACACACACACACACACACACACACACACACACACAGGAGCCAACAACAGAACAATGCTGGACTTTAAAACAGTCAAGAAAAATATCAAGAACAATAGGAAGATCCGACACAGGTCTGTGGTGGCGGCGGGGAAATAAGTGTATATAACATAAACCACAACAATGAGATCTAAACTGTGTTGTTCCACCAGCAGTAGTAGGTTACTCCACCACCCTGGCAGGATGCTGGTCCACCCAAGGGTTGTTCATCACCCCCAGCCAATAGTGTGGTCAGTGTTCAGGTCTGACGCATCAGGAAAACTCCCTCGTGTCGTCATCTGTGGTCAGTAATGCAACACGTCACTTTACGCTCACTACCTCACTAATAAATTATCTCATCCTCATATAAATATATAAACATAAAGACAGATAAACTTAAACATCACAGCTATAAAGAAAGAGGAAGGTGAGGTAGACGTAACTATAAATACTGAGGTGAACAAGAATGGCGACTGATACACCACAACAGCTCTCTGTAGCCATCACCCCGCGTGCTGGTGTCCTGTCATAACTGGCCTTTATTAAGAGCCCTTCTGTCCCGCCATTCATGCTTCCACCTACCTCCCTCCCTCCTTGCATTCCTTCCCCCTCCTTCCCCTTTCCCTCTCCGTCTATCCTTCTCCCTTGTCCCCTCCTTCCCTCCCTCCCACCTTTTCTCCTTCTCCCTCCTTCCTGTCCCTCCCTCTCTCCCTCCTAGCGAATAAATGCACCTTCTTCAGTAGACCTGCCACGCCACCTGCAGTAGAGTAAGCGTCATGAGGGGAACAGAGGCGTGTTTCTGTGGTCCCGAGGGTGTTGTTATCTCGTGAAAATATACCTCAGTAGGGCCTTATCTACCTCCTCCTACACCATGACCTCATTTACAGATCACCTACAACCTCGTGTGTGTGTGTGTGAGAGGACACCTTACAACATGTCAACACAACACCTTGACTCGAGAGACTGTGATGGATTGTGTTGATACCTGAGTGTGAGGCTGATTTTGTGTGTGTTGTTGTTGTTGTTGTTGTTGTTGATACTATTAGTAATCGAAATAATTTAAATAAAATCCATGAGGTTGCCGTAAGAACTAGAGCCCCCTAGGGCCCCACAGAGCCCTTAAGGGGGGGAAGGGAGGTCATCCAACAAGAGACTCATGGAGCAATTCTTGCACCTCACCTCACCATAATGGCCGCCTTATACTCAGACCAGGGACGTGTTAGACCTGCAGGGAAGCCTTTTGAACTTCCGTCTCAAAGGACTTAGTAGTTGTGTACACTCCGAGTGAGGGTGTTAGGTGAGGTCAGCCGTCAGAGAGGGGAGTCTACCAAGGATAGCAAAGGCCTAAGGGGGGAGGGAGGGGTGTAAGAGGTGGAGAGGGGTGTGAGGTGGGTGTAAGGGGTGGAGAGGGGTGTGATGTGGGTGTAAGGGGAGTGGGTGGGGGTGTAAAGGGGTGTAGGGGCGGGTGGAGTATTAGGTTTTATATCTAGAAGTGCAGAGGTCTTATTGCAACTATATCTTGCGCTAGTCAGGCCGCACCTCGATTACGCGGTTCAGTTCTGGTGCCCCTATTATAGAATGGATATAAATTCACTAGAGTCGGTGCAGCGAAGAATGACGAAAATGATTCCGGGACTTAGAAACCTTCCATATCAGGATAGGTTGAAGAAACTTAACTTGCATTCCCTAGAAAGACGAAGAGTGCGGGGAGATATGATAGAAGTATTTAAGTGGGTGAAAGGAATCAATAAAGGGGATATAGATAAAGTTCTTATAATATCCGAGCAGGATAGGACTCGGAGCAACGGATTTAAGTTGGATAAGTTTAGGTTTAGGAGGGAGATAGGAAGAAACTGGTTCACAAATAGGGTGGTGGACGAGTGGAACAAGCTTAGCTGGAGTGATGGAAAGTATTAAAAGGAGGCTAGATAGATTCATGGATGATAGAGAGTGGTTGTAATTCTCGACAGGAGCTGCCATGCAAAGGTCAACCGGCCTATTGCAGACTCCTTATTTTCTTATGTTCTAATGTTTGGAGGGGAGGGGATGTAGAGGGAGGGGGGGGTCTTGGGGAGGTGGAGGGGTCAGTCGTTGTTATGAGTGGAGGAAGGGATGGATGGAGTGGATGAGGGAGTGAGGGTGTGGTTGGTCAACCGTTATGTAGGAGAAATATTGCAACATACATGGCCACATACATACATACATACAGAAAACACCAAAATAAAGATACTGAATGCTGAAGATACAATCAATGGTAAACCTATGAGTCCTACACACACACACACACACATCCTGCACAGACAGGACACAAGGATTCAGTAGGATAGGATGCCCCCCCTCGTACACGACCTGAAGACAGCTGTATGAAAGATGTCTCTTCGTGTCCTGTCATAAATGATTTACGCTGAATCCCTCCCCATCCTCCTCACCCTCCCCAATCCTCCCACGATTCCTGCCAAAACGTGATATATTTAACAGGAATTTCATCTCAAGAATGTTCGTATGGGCGTGAAGTTTAGGTTAGGTTAGGTTAATACTGATTTGGGTGCTCCAGTAATGACCCTAATTATGCCTCCATAAAAAAAACTGTTGATTGACTTTATCATACACCTTTTAATTAATCTTGTAATTAACTGAAACGTAATCAAGGTGAACCATAACGGATCTCAGTAATTCAATTTATAATTAGAGAATGGAAATTTGCATAATAGACCAGGTACCGTACAATATATATATATATATATATATATATATATATATATATATATATATATATATATATATATATATATATATATATATATATATATATATATATATATATATATATATATTGTACCTGTGAAATGACTATCTTACTGTGGTGGTAGAGAGAGAGACAGAGAGACAGACACACAGACAGACACACAGACAGACAGACAGACAAACAGACAGACAGACATGCCATTTTATGATATTACGAAGAATACATACTGTATATGAATTAAATATACATAACAGCAATACAAGATTTATTATTATTATTATTATTATTATTATTATTATTATTATTGTTATTATTATTGTTGTTGTTGTTGTTGTTGTTGTTGTTGTCTGAATACATGTGACTCACCTCAATATCTCTCAAGTCATGTATCTCACCCCATTATCTCTCTCTGTCTCTCAGCTGGTAGCCAACACGGCGCTGTTCGTGTGTGTGAACGTGGGTGGTGTGTTCACTCACTACCCGGGGGAGGCCGCCAGGAGACAAGCCTTCATGGAGACCCGTCAGTGTGTGGCCACCAGGATCAAGACCCAGCGTGAGAACCACCAGCAGGTAGGTCCTCCTTTAGTGTAGGTCCTCCTTCAGTGTAGGTCCTCCTTCAGTGTAGGTCATCCTTCAGTGTAGGTCATCCTTCAGTGTATGTTCTCCTTCAGTGTATGTCCTCCTTCAGTGTAGGTCCTCCTTCAGTGTAGGTCCTCCTTCAGTGTATGTCCTCCTTCAGTGTAGGTCCTCCTTCAGTGTAGGTCATCCTTCAGTGTATGTTCTCCTTCAGTGTATGTCCTCCTTCAGTGTAGGTCCTCCTTCAGTGTAGGTCCTCCTTCAGTGTATGTCCTCCTTCAGTGTATGTCCTCCTTCAGTGTAGGTCCTCCTTCAGTGCATGTCCTCCTTCAGTGTATGTCATCCTTCAGTATAGCAGCAACAGGATATGAACAGGAATAAGTATCAGAAGCAGGTGTGTGTAGGTGTGTAGGTGTGTGTGTGTGTGTGTGGCCACTACTGAGACACACCAAACAACACCTGTACTGTATATAACCTGTATCAACCTACGTTAACAAGGAACATATTTGGAGAACTTAATTAACCCCATTGTTAAGGTATTGTAAACATAAACATTTTGGTTGAACATTCTAAGATAATCCTAAGTTAAGACAGATGCCTTTTAAAACATTGTTAGTCTTTCAATCACCAAACATTCACAACTCGGAAAATTCATCAACATTCTTATTATTTTTACACGACTACTGATGAATAATAACCTAATAGCATGATTTATTTCGGTACAGGTCCATTAGTTTGAATATTCACTATCTTAAACAATAAAATTTCAGTTTTGTTAAGTGCCTTTTTCTAATTGGCTACTTTTCAGAAAGTTAACTCAATTTGCTATGAACCGAAATCGTGTCTCTTAAGCCGTAACCTCTGAGTTTTACAGCCAATGAGATTAAACGTTTTGACAAAGCCCTCTTCTGATTGGTGCTTTTAGTCGGCTGCTGTATTTTTACCACTCTCGCTTGTTGTTTTGAAGTAAAGTAAACATTCAGAAATTCAATGAAAAGCTCGTCGTAGTGGCGTCCAGGGAAGGTGCTACTGGTCGTCTGGCGTTACTGTGTTATTAAGCTCAAGTATAAGACCTCAGAGTGACACTAATCCATAAAGCTCTTCAGTATGTTAACAGCAGGTGAGCCAATCATTACGGTAATGTGTCTTATACAGGTGACCGAGGATTGATTGCCTCAGGTGGGTGTTTACCGCCTTACCTGTGAGTGTATAGTGTCAGTTCATCTCCCCCACCTGTGTCACCGCTACCTTACCTGGGGATTTTCTCTTAAAACTTTGTCAATGAATTAGACTCTGTGCCTGGGGGGGGGGGCGATTCTAAATTGACTTAGTGAGTGACAAATAACCCCAAACCTCCAAGAATTTAACCACTAGCGTATTACTGAACTCTGTCTGAATTTGAATATTGTATAAAAAATGGTAATAAAATCTCACGTCAATTAACATCCATTGACAAAAATAAACCAATGAGGTGGTGGAGTTAAACCGATCTTAAACCAATTGAGACACTTTAGTTTTATTAGATAAGTGTGTTTATGCAAGTCGATGTAATGACCTTGAAGGGAAAGGGGTCAAGAGGTTAGGTCAAAGGCCAATATGGTGTCGAGACCAATTAGTCAACAGAGGTGTGGACTTTGACCTTTTATATGTTTGTCTCTATATAACAATTGGAAGTTTTCAATGTAGAATTATATTACCTAACTTTTGATGGTAGGTCACAGGTCATGTTAGGTCACAGGTCATGTTAGGTCATAAGAACATAAGAACATAAGAAAATAAGGAGTCTGCAATAGGCCGGCTGGCCTGTGCATGGCAGCTCCTGTCGAGAGTTACTACCACTCTCTATCATCCATGAATCTATCTAGCCTCCTTTTGAAACTTTCCAGAGTTCCCGCACTTACTACAAAGCTGCTAAGCTTGTTCCACTCGTCCACCACCCTATTTGTGAACCAGTTTCTTCCTATCTCCCTCCTAAACCTAAACTTATCCAACTTGAATCCGTTGCTCCGAGTCCTATCCTGCTCGGATATTATAAGAACTTTATCTATATCCCCTTTATTGATTCCTTTCACCCACTTAAGTACTTCTATCATATCTCCCCGCACTCTTCGTCTTTCTAGGGAATCCAAGTTTAGTTTCTTTAACCTATCCTGATATGGAAGGTTTCTAAGTCCCGGAATCATTTTCGTCATTCTTCGCTGCACCGACTCTAGTGAATTTATATCCATTCTATAATATGGGCACCAGAACTGAACCGCATAGAGGTGCGGCCTGACTAGCGCAAGATATAGTTGCAATAAGACCTCTGCACTCTTGTTACTTACACTTCTAGATATAAAACCCAATACTCTGTTTGCCTTATTTCGAACATTAATGCACTGTTTTCTAGGCCGTAGGTCCGGGCTTACAAGTACCCCTAGGTCTCTTTCACAAGTCGACTTCTCTAGGTTGATGTTGTGAAGGCTGTATACATTATCAGTATTTGTTCCTCCAATATTAAGTACGCTGCACTTGCTGGTGTTGAATTTCATTTGGCATTTGCCATTTGTCATGTTAGGTCACAGGTCATGTTAGGTCACAGGTCATGTTAGGTCACAGGTTAGGTGTGCTTAGACCTTTAGTTTATGGACCGTTGAGGTTATAATAAGCACCTGTTGACACCTGTAGCCGTTATAATAAGCACCTGTTGACACCTGTAGCCGTTATAATAAGCACCTGTTGACACCTGTAGCCGTTATAATAAGCACCTGTTGACACCTGTAGCCGTTATAATAATCACCTGTTGACACCTGTAGCCGTTATAATGAGCACCTGTTGACACCGTTAGCCGCTATAATAAGCACCTGTTGACATCTGTAGCCGTTATAATAAGTACCTGTTGACACCTGTAGCCGTTATAATAAGCACCTGTTGACACTTGTAGCCGTTATAATAAGCACCTGTTGACACCTGTAGCCGTTATAATAAGCACCTGTTGACACCTGTAGCCGTTATAATAAGCACCTGTTGACACCTGTAGCCGTTATAATAAGCACCTGTTGACACCTGTAGCCGTTATAATAAGCACCTGTTGACATCTGTAGCCGTTATAATAAGCACCTGTTGACATCTGTAGCCGTTATAATAAGCACCTGTTGACACCTGTAATATAGCTACAGGTATCTGACGCCGTGGGAGATGTTTGTGTGTTTAAACTTTAACGTGTCCTTGATCGTACGTAAAGGTCAGGAGGTCGGGGGAGTTGTAACCTTTGACCTTTTGTACGTGAGAGTAGTGTGTATGTATGTATGTTCTTTTTCTCTCTCACTTTCATTCTTTCCTTCCTCTCTCTCTCTCTCTCTCTCTCTCTCTCTTCTCTTTTCTCTTCATTATCTCCTCACCATCATCTCCCCCTCCCCCCCTCACTAACGACCCTAATCACCTCGTCACTAAGGGCTTGAGGGGAAGTGAGGGAAAGAAAGGGGGGAGTTGACCGGCCCCCCAGCACTCGACCCTCCAGGGCACATTAGCGAGATGCACTTGTGTGTTTTGAGTGAATTAGTTAACGTCTCTACTATGTGTGTGTTCTCTCTCTCTCTCTCTCTCTCTCTCTCTCTCTCTCTCTCTCTCTCTCTCTCTACTTGTCTGTCTGTCTGTGTCCACCCAAAAAACCTAACCTAACCTTATGTTCTGTGTGTTCTTGTACCACCAGGAGCGTCTGTTGCTGTCTGTGCTGCCTCGACACGTGGCTATGGAGATGAAGTCAGACATAGCTGGTACACCCAAGGACACCATGTTTCATAAGATCTACATCCAGCGTCATGATAACGTCAGGTGAGGCCCCCCTTCTTACCTCTTGTTCTTACCTGTTCCTACCTGTGTCTACTTGTTCCTACCTTCTTACCTCTTGTTCCTACCTGTTCCTACCTGTGTCTACTTGTTCCTACCTTCTTACCTCTTGTTCCTACCTGTCCCTACCTATTCTCAACATTGCAACATCTACTTCAGAAACTCAAATACCAACTTTATTCGTTGTAATGTTTATGTTGCAAAAAAACTATGTTGAATTTATTTTTGCATTCGGGTAAATTTATTTTGTTTATTTATTTGACTATATCTTGTCCCCTTAGGAATAAATTTTATGTATTTTTCCTTTGATTTAGAATGCATTTAGTGCCACAGTGTTTGTTTTCTTTGATCTATGAAGTTTAGAACAAATTCATTTCCAATTATTCTCAACTGGATGTATTTCTCTAGTTTGGAAGAAATTTATTAACTCAAATTTTTGTAGACGTAAATTTATTCTATAATAAGCTCATTAATTGGAGTTTTTCTCATAAACAACGTATATAATGTTTTTTACATAATTTCGATTAAACTCGTTTTTCGTATATTTCTCACAAATTTACTCTAGAAGAAATCATGTTTGTTTCACCCACATACGTCTTTCAGAACAAATTTATCCAGTTTTTTTCACATATATATTAAAATAAACTAACTTTCTTTTTAAAATACAGTATACTAACTCTATTTAAATCAAACTATTTTCCTTTTAAAACTAACTAAAACCCTTCCTAACCCACATATTTATTTCAGAACAAACTATAGTAACTCTTTCTAACCCTCACACATATTTATTCTAGAACAAACTCCACCAGCTTACTCTTCCGGTCAACCCCCCCCCCACACAAAGTATCGACAATTCGTAATCCTGAGAGATCTGTTCTTCTCTCTCTCTCTCTCTCAGCTGACACGATCACACTCACCCCACTCTTCACCCCCTCCGCACCTCTCCTCGCTTCTCTCCCCCCTCCTTCCTTCCCCCCCTCCTCCCTCCTCCCTCCCCTCACCCCTACCCCCTCCACCCCCCCCAACACGAGACAGGACTAAGATATCAACAGTCACACAGTTTATAGCAACCTGGAAATAATAGATCTATGGTAAGCTTAATATGCTTGTAGATACCTCTGAAACAACAGACACAGATTCAAGCTTTTGTTTATATATTTTTTTCAAACTTACAAACACTCACCACCTCTTATTATGTAAACAAAAGCTTAACCCCTTACAATATCTGATAATGTCTTCACAGCATCTAACAGCATCGTTACAGCATCTAACAGCCTTCTTTCTCCCGTTACAGCATCTAACAGCCTTCTTCCTCCCGGTACAGCATCTAACAGCCGTTACAGCATCTAACAGCCTTCTTCCTCCCGTTACAGCATCTAACAGCCTTCTTCCTCCCGTTACAGCATCTAACAGCCTTCTTCCTCCCGTTACAGCATCTAACAGCCTTCTTCCTCCCGTTACAGCATCTAACAGTCTTCTTCCTCCCGTTACAGCATCTAACAGCCTTCTTCCTCCCGTTACAGCATCTAACAGCCTTCTTCCTCCCGTTACAGCATCTAACAGCCTTCTTCCTCCCGTTACAGCATCTAACAGTCTTCTTCCTCCCGTTACAGCATCTAACAGCCTTCTTCCTCCCGTTACAGCATCTAACAGCCTTCTTCCTCCCGTTACAGCATCTAACAGCCTTCTTCCTCCCGTTACAGCATCTAACAGTCTTCTTCCTCCCGTTACAGCATCTAACAGCCTTCTTCCTCCCGTTACAGCATCTAACAGCCTTCTTCCTCCCGTTACAGCATCTAACAGCCTTCTTCCTCCCGTTACAGCATCTAACAGTCTTCGTTACAGCATCTAACAGCGTCGTTACAGCATCTAACAGCCTTCTTCCTCCCGTTACAGCATCTAACAGCCTTCTTCCTCCCGTTACAGCATCTAACAGCCTTCTTCCTCCCGTTACAGCATCTAACAGTCTTCTTCCTCCCGTTACAGCATCTAACAGCGTCGTTACAGCATCTAACAGCCTTCTTCCTCCCGTTACAGCATCTAACAGCCTTCTTCCTCCCGTTACAGCATCTAACAGCCTTCTTTCCCCCCGTTACAGCACATCTAACAGTCTTCTTCCTCCCGTTACAGCATCTAACAGCCGTCTTCCTCCCGTTACAGCATCCTGTTTGCCGACATCTGCGGGTTCACCACTCTGTCTGACCAGTGCACAGCCGAGGAGTTGGTCCGCCTCTTGAGTGAACTGTTTGCTCGGTAAGTCTGTCTGTTTGTCTGTCTGTGTTTGTCTATCTATCTGTCTGTCTGTCTGTCTGTCATCCTCTCTGTCTGTCTATTTGTCTGTCTGGTCAAACATACGTCTCTACATCAGTGTCTTTGCAACTATATATATATATATTTATAAACAATATAAACAGTAACATTAAGTCTACATAAACAAGTATACCTCTCACATGCCTTCCCATCTACCCCAAACACCATAGGTAATCCATACACCTGAGATCCTTCCCTCCCTCTCTCTCTCTCTCCAGGTAACTTAATTAACTCACACAGGTAATTAATTAAGACATCGTTACCACTCCTCATTCTACTCACCTGATACACACAGATCCCTCACCACCTGTAAATACCTCATAAAAAAAAATAATAATTTTTTCATTTCTCACGTAAAGAGTTTCTCCTCGTCTCCTGCGCCATCTGTTTATAACATGGTGTGATTGCTCATTTGAATACGGAGCCTAGAGTGAGTCAGAACGGAAAACTCTCAGCCTTTTTTATACCGTCAGAATGGTCCTCCTCCTCCTGTGAACCTCCTGCAGATGTGTGGCTCCGTTTTGAGTTTTTGTTGATGTTTTTTGGAGGGGGAGGACTGGGAGGGAAGAGGGCTGGGAGGGGTGTTGTTCTGGTGAGGGGTGTCGTACTGGTGGGGAGGGGGGGGTAGGGTGTCGTATTGGGAGGGTGTACTGGGGGGGTTGTTTTCCTGGTGGGAGGGGTCGTACTGGGAAAGGGGGGGTCGTTCTGGGGAAGGGGGGGGGTCGTTAAATCAATACACGAAACTTGTTGTTGTTGGTTGACTTACTCCCTTTAAACGTGGGGTCGTGAGAATATACAAGTGATTTATTAACTGACTCACTTAAACTACGACACAAAGATGGATTATAAATGAGTCTTTCTCACTTAAACTACGACACAAAGATGGATTATAAATGAGTCTTTCTCACCTAAACTACGACACAAAGATGGATTATAAATGAGTCTTTCTCATAAACTACGACACAAAGATGGAGTATATATGAGTCTTTCTCACCTAAACTACGACACAAGATGGATTATAAATGAGTCTTTCTCACCTAAACTGACACAAAGATGGATTATAAATGAGTCTTTCTCACCTAAACTACGACACAAAGATGGATTATAAATGAGTCTTTCTCACCTAAACTACGACCAAAGATGGATTATAAACGAGTCTTTCTCCTTAAACTACGAAACAAAGATGGATTATAAATGAGTCTTTCTCACCTAAACTACGACACAAAGATGGATTAAACGAGTCTTTCTCACTTAAACTACGACACAAAGATGGATTATAAATGAGTCTTTCTCACCTAAACTACGACACAAAGATGGATTATAAATGAGTCTTTCTCACCTAAACTACGACACAAAGATGGATTATAAATGAGTCTTTCTCACCTAAACTACGACACAAAGATGGATTATAAATGAGTCTTTCTCACCTAAACTACGACACAAAGATGGATTATAAATGAGTCTTTCTCACCTAAACTACGACACAAAGATGGATTATAAATGAGTCTTACCTAAAAAAATCACCTCAACTAACTCCGGTAAACTCGATACAACGATGAATTCCAAAAAGTTCGTAAATTAATTGTATCGGTTCTTTTTCTCCATGAGCTGCTAATTAACCAACTTTTAACTAATTAAGGTAAATTATTAGAGTAAATTTGACCTTAATTTGACCTCTCTCCATCTTTTTCCCCCGTCAGTGAAATGAGTCAGTTGGATACCTTCTCTTAATTACCTCAAGTTGTTTACCAGTTATTGACCAATCACAAAGCAAGGTTCATCAGCTTGACCAATCACAAAGCAACACTCATCAGCTTGACCAATCACAAAGCAACACTCATCAGCTTAACCAATCACAAAGCAACACTCATCAGCTTGACCAATCACAAAGCAACACTCATCAGCTTGACCAATCACAAAGCAACATTCACGAGCTCTCGACCAATCACATCGCACAATGCACTCAGAGGTTGCCAAATGTATAAGGGGGTATAAGGGAGAAATATAAACCCATTAATAAACCAAGATACATAAAACCCCAGATATAAAACTAAACCAGAATAAAAACCCACTTAAAAACCAACACATAAACAGACTAATAACTCTTCCTGTTAACAGTATCACCCCGTTAACACCACCACCCCGTTAACACCACCACCCCCGTGCTTACCACCACCTCCCGCTTAACACCACACCCCCAGTAACACCCACCACCCCGTTAACACCACCACCTCCGTTAACACCACCACCCCCGTTAACACCACCACCCCCGTTAACACCACCACCCCGTTAACACCACCACCCCCCGTTAACACCACCACCTCCGTTAACACCACCACCTCCCGTTACCACCACCCCGTTAACACCACCACACCCCGTTAACACCACCACCTCCCGTTAACACACCACCCCCCGTTAACACCACCCCCGTTAACACCACCACCCCCGTTACCACCACCCCGTTAACACCACCACCCCCGTTAACACCACCACCCCTGTTAACACCACCATCCCCGTTAACACCACCACCCCTGTTAACACCACACCCCCCGTTAACACCACCATCCCCCCATTAACACCACCACCCCCCGTTAATACCACCACCCCGTTAACACCCACCACACCCCGTTAACACCACCACCCCTGTTAACACCCCCGTTAACACCACCACCCCATTAACACCACCACCCCCCGTTAACACCACCACCCCCGTTAACACCACCATACCCCCGTTAACACCACCACACCCCAAGTTAACACCACCCACACCCCGTTAACACCACCACCCGTTAAACCACCACCACCCCGTTAACACCACCACCACCCCGTTAACACCACCACCCCGTTAACACCACCACACCCCCGTTAACACCCCGTTAACACCACCACGTTAACACCCCTGTTAACACCACCACCCCTGTACCACCCTGTTAACACCACACACCCCGTTAACACCACCACCTGTTAACACCACCACACCCCCGTTAACACCACCACCCCCGTTAACACCACCCACACCCCCGTTAACACCCCCGTTAACACCACCACCCCTGTTAACACCACCACACCCCCGTTAACAGTATACCCCTCTTACAAAAATGACTTCTAGGAGTTCGAGAGCCAACAGGTAATAGGTATTTGTTACATACTTGGTATTAGTATCCATTAGTAATATAAGATAATTACTTAAACCCATTAGCCACACTTGACCTCGAGGGAGAGAGTCTACAGCCCATTAGTGGAAGTACCAGTCAGTCCTTAGCTATACGACCTGCTTACCTGGTGTTGGCTACCTGGTGTTGGTTACCTGGTGTTGGTTACCTGGTGTTGGTTACCTGGTAGTGTTCGTTACCTGGTAGTGTTCGTTACCTGGTGTTGGCTACCTGGTGTTGTACCTGATGTTGGTTACCTGGTGTTGGTTACCTGGTAGTGTTCGTTACCTGGTAGTGTTCGTTACCTGTGTTGGTTACCTGGTGTTGGTTACCTGGTGTTGGTTACCTGGTGTTGGTTACCTGGTAGTGTTCGTTACCTGGTAGTGTTCGTTACCTGGTGTTGGCTACCTGGTGTTGGTTACCTGGTGTTGGTTACCTGGTAGTGTTCGTTACCTGGTAGTGTCCGTTACCTGGTGTTGGTTACCTGTGTTGGTTACCTGGTGTTGGTTACCTGGTAGTGTTCGTTACCTGGTAGTGTTGGTTACCTGGTATTGATTACCTGGTGTTGGTTACTTGGTAGGTGTTGGTTACCTGGTAGTGTTGGTTACCTGGTATTGATTACCTGGTGTTGGTTACCTGGTAGGTGTTGGTTACCTGGTATGTTGGTTACCTGGTATTGATTACCTGGTGTTGGTTACCTGGTAGTGTTGGTTACCTGGTATTGATTACCCGGTGTTGGTTACCTGCAGTGTTGGTTACCTGGTGTTGGTTACCTGCAGTGTTGGTTACCTGGTATTGATTACCTGGTGTTGGTTACCTGGTAGTGTTGGTTGCCTGGTGTTGGTTACCGGTGTTGGTTACCTGGTAGTGTTGGTTACCTGGTATTGATTACCTGGTGCTGGTTACCTGGTAGTGTTGGTTACCTGGTGTTGGTTACCTGGTAGTGTTGGTTACCTGGTATTGATTACCTGGTGTTGGTTACCTGGTAGTGTTGGTTGCCTGGTGTTGGTTACCTGGTGTTGGTTACCTGGTAGTGTTGGTTACCTGGTAGTGTTGGTTACCTTGTAATAGGATGATGAGAAGGAGGAAGAGGACAAGGATGTAGGAGGGAGAGGAAGAGGAGAAGGAAGTAGAAGGGAGAGAAGTAGGAGGAGAAGAAGAAAGGAAGAGAGAGACGAAGAGAGGGAGAAGGAAGGAGGGGGAGATGAAGGAGGAAGAAGAGGAGGAGGAGGAAGGAAGGAAGGAAGGAGAGTTTTTGCATGCTATTGTTACTGAATTTGGGAAGTGAGAGAAGAGGGAGGAGGAGTGAGAGAGAGGGAGGGAGAGAGAAAGATAGAAGAGAGAGAGAGAGAGACGAAGATGGATGGAGAAAAAGAAGAAGAGAAGACATCTAATTATGGAACTAAAGACGCAGGACACACACAAGAAAACATCCCATAAAGACACAACTAATTAATTGGGTGACGGGAAATAGACAGAAAGATTAGAATGTGAGTGAGAACAAAGCATAATGAGAGGTAAGGCGGATCCCACAGACAGCCACAGACAGCCACAGACTACCACAGACAGCCACAGACAGCCACAGACTACCACAGACAGCCACACAGCCACAATGAACTCAGCCCGAAACAAACCCTAAGAGAAGGACCCAATATCACATGGAAGGAAAGAACGACTGAAAGGAGGAGAAGAGGAAGAGGTAATGAAGGAGGAAGAAGAAGAAATGGAGAAGACGGAGGAGAAGAGGAGAAAGAAGAAGAGGAGGAGCAAGAAGAAGAGGAGGAGCAAGAAGAAGAGGTAGAAGAAGAGCATTAAAAAGCCCCCCACACACGCGAGTCAAGCTAAATATAGATAGACAGGTAGACGGGAGAGAGAGGGGGATGGTTAGGCTCCAGTACACCCAAAATAGACTTCCAGAGAATTAACGACTACCTGGAAAACGCCTCAATCTGGAAAGACCTGGAGTGACGTCCCTTGAAGTTGAAGCACCATCGTTCTTGTCATCGGTAATTGGCAATTTTAAAAAATTATCCAGGAATCTACCATAAAAAAAATACCTTCCCAGAGTTTAATCGGTTACCTGGAAAAAATCTTCTTTAGTCTTGAAAAGTTGAGGTAGGGAGAACAAGCCCTTGAAACACTCTTCTTCCTCTCCCCCTCACCTCCTCTCCCCTCACCCCCTCACCCCCTCACACCCCCTCTCCCCCTCACCTCCTCTGATGTTGTTATTGGTGATTGGTAATGCCTCTAATTTCATATATATATAGATGTACCAAAGTAGTCTTCTAGGGATTATCAGGTTATCTGGAAAAAGGTACTGGAAAAGGGGAACTGGAAAGGCTAAGACGGAGTCATTCGAAGCATCGTTACTAATGACTCTTATGGTAAATAATAATTAAAATCCTCTTAATCTAACAAAATCTGGAAGGTAAATGTGTAAAGGTGAAGAAATGATTTTGGTTCTTGGGTAACAGTTCCAGTCATTGTCATCAGCAGCGAATCCTTAGAACCGACAAGATCACCTGAGTCTACCTGTTAATTAACCGGTAGATAACAGGTAACACGATCATCAAGCTTGAGTTATAATACACCTGAACATTACTTAAGCCTGTAATTAAGATAGGAGTTCATTTGGATTAAGTTCCGTAGATATTAAGGACCCATTCAGGTATCCCATTAGGGTTAGGATCGGTCGTAATGGGGATGGTTACGTATCCATACAGGGAATGCTCTGTTTAACGGACAGTGTAGGGAGGAAATTCCGCTATATGGAGGGTCCGTTAGATGTGAAGCCTGCCATCTAACTGCTTAACACTGGAACCCATGAGAACTAAGACTCACTAACACTGGGGCCCACAAGAACAAAGACTCCCTAACACCGGGCCCCCAAAGAACAAAGACTCCCTAACACCGGCCCCACAAAACAAAGACTCCAACACCGGCAAAAACAAAACTAACACAAAAACAAAGACTAACACCCCACAAACAACTCAACACCCCCCACAAAAACAAAGACTCCCCTAACACCGGCCCCCACAAAACAAAGACTCCCTAACACCGGGCCCCACAAGAACAAAGACTCCCTAACACCGGGCCCCACAAGAACAAAGACTCCCAACAGGGGGGCCCATCTGACCATCCCACCCCCCCAAAAAAAACCTAACCTAACCTAACCCTCTTCCCCTTCCAACAGATTCGACCGTCTAGCCGCTGAACATCACTGCCTCAGGATCAAGTTACTAGGCGACTGTTACTACTGTGTAAGTGGTCTACCGGAGGCCAGACCCGACCATGCCCACTGCTGCGTCGAGATGGGTCTAGACATGATCGAGGCCATAGCGTAAGTAACCATGTCTTTAATTCTGTCTTTATGTCTTGTTTTAAATGTCTATAGGGACATTAACTGGTGAATTTGGAGAGATTATTTAACCTCTATACATGATATATAAGTAAAAAAATATCAAGAAGGATCGAGAGTTTTAAAAGGTTTGAATTGTCTCGATGGAAAATAAACTCCCTAATGAACTAGTGTGGGTGTTCTAATACTCTGAATATGTGAGATTGTAATTTATAGTTTCCTGAAGTAATATAGTCGATGTTATATTTTTGGTATAGAAGTTGTGAACAAATATATATATATCATAGCGATTATTGTTGTCATTTTATTGGAAGGGATATTTTTATGGGAAATGATAGGAGTTTAGATCATACATACATACATGCATACATACATACATACATACATACATACATACATGCATACATACATACATACATACATACATACATACATACAACAGGAAATTAAGTATAATCTCCCCAACTATTAATTATTATCATCATACAGATAACTTCCGTCTACCTGTGCTACTCATCTACCCCTTACACACACACACACACACACACACACACACACACACACACACACCACACACACACACACACACACACACACACAACACACACACACACACACACACACACACACACACACACACACACACACACACACACACACACACACACACACATTTATCCAGTTCTCTGCATCGTGTGGTAAACTCTCCTCATATCTGTCATACTTGCAAATGTTCTTGTCTAAAATGTTCTGTTTATCTTTGTGAAATACGAGGTTTATCTAGGTTTATCTCATGCTTTGGGGTGGGGAGGTTAGGTTAGGTTAGGTTAGGTTAGGTTAGGTTAGGTTAGGTTAGGTTAGGTTAGGTTAGGTTGAGAGGTTGAGTCACTGCACCTCGGCGTCTCCACTCTACTGGGATAACCATTGAACTCTCATTAGTGTACAACCGTTTGATCAGTGTGTGTGTGTGTGTGTGTGTGTGTGTGTGTGTGTGTGTGTGTGTGTGTGTGTGTGTGTGTGTGTGTGTTTATCACCTCCTGTACCGTGGTTACTAACGGGATACAGGTGGTGTTTACTGTACCTGTACCTCTTAACCTGTACCGTAGTTATTAACGAGTTATAAGTCGTAATCGCCGGGCAATTAGATTCACCTGTCATTAGCAATTGTGATTATGGGTGATTATAACTTGATGCTAATTGTACTGTTGTTAGGAATGGTTCACTCACCTGATTGCAACCATTAACTCAGGGTCATGAAAGAGAAGCGAGAGAGAGAGAGAGAGCGATATATATATACAGTATATACCATAATGATATAGTCTCAATTATTAAATGTCTGTCTGTCTGCAAGTGGAGTTCAGAATTTGTATTTACGATAACTCTCTATATTAACTTTGACCTTTAACTGGTTTTAATTGGATGTGTTTGGTTACGGTAGAGTCTCAGTGTTGTCATATTAGATGTACGTGTGTTTGTCATAGCTTAAGTCAGCCAATCTGTTTGTTTATACACGTCCAGTTAGTAGGAGAGGCAGGTGAATGTCTTTGAGGGTCTCTATGTGTGTTGTAGGTATAGGGGGTGAGGAGTAGGGGGTGAGGAGGAGTAGGGGTGAGGAGGAGTAGGGGTGAGGAGGAGTAGGGGTGAGGGAGGGAGTAGGGGTGAGGAGGAGGTAGGGGGGTGAGGAGGAGTAGGGGTGAGGAGGAGTAGGGGTGTGAGGGAGGGGGTAGGGGTGAGGAGGGTAAGGTGTGAGGAGGTAGGGGTGAGGAGGAGTGGGGGGGTGAGGAGGAGTAGGAGGGTGAGGAGGAGGAGTAGGGGGGTGAGGGAGGTAGGGGGGTGAGGAGGGTAGGGGGTGAGGAGGAGTAGGGGGTGAGGGGAGGAGTAGGGTGAGGGTAGGAGGGGTGAGGAGGAGGAGTAGAGGGGTGAGGAGGAGTAGGGGGGTGAGGAGGAGTAGGGGGTGAGGAGGAGTAGGGGGGTGGGGAGGAGGGGGTGAGGGGGAGGAGTAGGAGGTGAGGAGGAGTAGGAGGGGTGAGGGAGGAGAAGGGGGGGTGAGGAGGAGTAGGGGGTGAGGAGGGAGTAGGGGGGTGAGGAGGAGTAGGGGTGAGGAGGAGTAGGGGGTGAGGAGGGTAGGGGTGAGGAGGAGTAGGGGTGAGGGAGGTGGGGGGTGAGGAGGAGTAGGGGAGGGAGGTAGGAGGTGAGGAGGGGGTGAGGAGGAGGGGGTGAGGAGGAGTAGGGGGTGAGGAGGAGTAGGAGGGTGGGGAGGGTAGGAGGTGAGGAGGAGTAGGGAGGTGAGGAGGAGGGGGTGAGGAGGAGTAGGGGTGAGGAGGAGTAGGGGTGAGGGAGGAGTAGGGGGTGAGGAGGAGGAGGGGGTGAGGAGGAGGGGGTGAGGAGGAGTAGGGGGGTGAGGAGGGGAGTAGGGGGTGAGGAGGAGTAGGGGTGAGGGAGGGAGTGAGGGGTGAGGAGTAGGGGGGGGTGAGGAGGAGTAGGGGGTGAGGAGGAGTAGGGTGAGGGAGGGAGTAGGGTGAGGAGGAGAGGAGGTGAGGAGGTAGGGGTGAGGAGGTAGGAGGGTGGGGAGGAGGGGGTGAGGGAGGAGAGGTGAGGAGGAGGGGGGTAGGGGAGGAGGGGTGAGGAGGAGTAGGAGGGTGAGGAGGAGGGTGAGGAGGAGGGGGTGAGGAGGGAGTAGAGGGGGGTGAGGAGGTAGGGGTGAGGAGGAGTAGGGGTGAGGAGGGAGTAGGGGTGAGGGAGTAGGGGTGAGGAGGGAGTAGGGGGTGAGGAGGAGTAGGAGGGTGAGGGTAGGGGGGTGAGGGAGGAGTAGGGGGTGAGAGGAGGTGGTGAGGAGGAGTAGGGGGGTGAGGAGGAGTAGGGGGTGAGGAGGAGTGGAGGGTGGGGGAGGAGAGAGGGGGTGAGGGAGGGAGTAGGAGGGGGTGAGGAGGAGTAGGAGGGGGGGTGAGGAGGAGTAGGATGAGGGAGGAGTAGGGGGTGAGGGAGGAGTGAGGGGGTGAGGAGGAGTAGGGGGTGAGGAGGAGTAGGGGGTGAGGAGGGAGTAGGGGGTGAGGAGGGAGTAGGAGGGGTGAGGGGAGGTAGGGGGTGAGGGAGGAGGAGTAGGGGGTGAGGAGGGAGGTAGGGGTGAGGAGGAGTAGGGGTGAGAGGAGGAGTAGGAGGGTGAGGAGGAGTAGGAGGGGGGGTGAGGAGGAGTAGGGGGTGAGGAGGAGTAGGGGGTGAGGAGGAGTAGGGGTGAGGGAGGAGGAGTAGGGGTGAGGGAGGAGGGGGTGGAGGAGTGGGGGTGAGGAGTAGGGGGTGAGGAGGGAGGAGTAGGGGGGTGAGGAGGAGTAGGAGGGTGAGGAGGTAGAGGGGTGTGGAGGAGGGGGGTTGAAGGAGTAGGGGTGAGGAGGAGTAGGGGTTGGAAGGAGGAGTAGGGGGTGAGGAGGGTAGGGGTGAAGAAGAGGTAGGGGGTGTGAGTAGGGTGAGGAGGAGTAGGAGGGGGGTGTGAGAGGAGGGGGTGAGGGAGGAGTAGGGGTGAGGGAGGGGGGTGAGGAGGGAGTAGGGGGTGAGGGAGGGGAGTAGGAGGGGGGTGAGGAGTAGGGGGTGAGGAGGAGGAGTAGAGGGGTGAGGAGGGAGTAGAAGGGGGGTGAGTAGGAGGGGGTGAGGAGGAGAGAGGGGGTGAGGAGGAGTAGGGGGTGAAGAAGGAGTAGGGGGTGAGTAGGAGGGGTGAGGAGGAGGAGTAGGGGGTGAGTAGGAGGGGTGGGGAGGAGGAGTAGGGGTGAGGAGGAGTAGGAGGGGGGGTGAGGGAGGAGTAGGGGGGGTTAGAGGAGTAGAGGAGAGAAAGGGAAAGGTGAAGAGAGGGGTAGGTGGGGAGACGAAAGGGGGAAGGGGGTGGGAGGAAGGGGGTGTAGCAGATCTTCCAGCAGCGGGGGGAGGCCCAAACTGACTGACTCACCGTGTTCCTAGAGAGACAACCCCAGGGACGCTCAATACTGCTGCTCCTGAGAGGTTTACCCTGAGACAACCTTTGTTTACTCACACTAAAGGGAGTCAGACTATCTCCCTCTTGATCTTGTTCAATGTTATTTATAAAAAACTTTGATTCAGCTCCGGGTAATAATAACAATAACAGCGACAACATCAATAACAATAACAATAACAATAACAACAACGTCAACAAGAACAACAATAACAGCAACGACAACAACAACAACAACAATCTTTACCTCACCAATACGTAATGTTGACATAATCAATATTTCTTCTCCACAAAAGCTGTGATTATCCCTGCCACTCTCTCTCTTGCCTTCCCTCCACTCTCCACCTTCCTCCCCTCTCCCACCTTCCCTCCCACTCTCCCACCTTCCCTCCCCTCCCCCACCTTCCTCCCACCTTCCTCCCACTCCCCCACCTTCCCTCCCTCCCACCTTCCTCCACTCTCCCACCTTCCTCCCACTCCCCACCTTCCTCCTCCCACCTTCCCTCCCTCTCCACCCCTCCTCCCCACCTTCCTCCCACTCCCCACCTTCCTCCACTCCCCCACCTTCCCTCCTCCCCACCTTCCTCCCACCTTCCTCCCACTCCCCCCTTCCTTCCCTCTCCCACCTTCCCTCCCACTCCCCCACCTTCCCTCCCTCCCCCCACCTTCCTCACTCCCCACCTTCCCTCCTCTCCACCTTCCCTCCCTCCCCACCTTCCCTCCCTCCCCCCCACCTTCCCTCCACTCCAACTTCCCTCCCACCCCCCCACCTTCCCTCCCTCTCCCACCTTCCTCCCACTCCCCACCTTCCCTCCCCACCTTCCCTCCCACTCCCCCACCTTCCCTCCCACTCTCCCACCTTCCCTCCTCCCTCACCTTCCTCCCACTCCCCACCTTCCTCCCACTCCCCCACCTTCCTCCCACTCCCCCACCTTCCCTCCCCCCTCCCACAGTGACGTAGACAACACACAGGAGTCACAGAACCAATCAGCCCCAGAGATGATTTCTTCCTCAGAGCTAAATT